TATTTATTATATATATATATATATATATATTTATATATATATATATATATAAAAATGAGAAAAATTTATCTTTATGGATCAATTTTTTAAAATATGAGAAGAGATAAATGTTACAGTGTAATAAAAATTAAGTATATAAATTTAAATTGATAAAGTATTAGGTTAGTGCAAAAATCTGTTTATTGTTTCTTCATGAATTTATAAATAAAGTTTATAATAAATTTATAATAAAATGTATCATAAACTCATTAATTATAAATAAAGTTATTATTTTCCATTTTAAAAGCTTAGATTTTTTAAATCAGATATATAAAAACTTCTTTCTATAGGAAAAGGTGCATTAAAGCCGATGGCGATTTAATTAATTTTGATTTTATTTCTAGATCTTTATCATTTTTAAATTATTATAATATATTAATATGTATTGCTGTGTCTTATTGAATTGATGCATGCATCAGTTATCACACGTATTACAAAAAAATACAAAAATTCGAAGATGGACATAAGACTGAAACCAGCAAACAATCCTAGTAAACCACCAAATGATGCTGAAAATATTAAGCAAATTAATATCGTTATTGAATTTCTTATTATATATAGATTATAGACGTTTATATTTTATAATTTTATATAATATGTTTATCTTACCAAACAAATTGCGCCAACTATAATTAACTGACCGTCGAAATTGAAAACCGACCAAATCGTTGAAGAATACATGTATTATACTATGATTTTGTATGCTAAAAGCGTTACTGCAAGAATATATTTAAATTTAGCAAAATTTTAGACCATTAATGCCGTTAATTTATTAAATAGAAATATAAATATATTTATTAAATATTTAATTCAGAAGAACTGAAAATACTGATGCAAATTAAGATCAATTATACTCAATAAAAATTAATTTAAAATTCTTGAAAATAGTAAAAAATGAAACTTTGAATATTTAACTAAATTACATTTTTACCGAGGGTTTTTTGAAAAACTGCCATTGTTATAATAAACAGTAGGATCGAGAGCCCCAGCGGAGCTCTCTATGGGGTAACGAAATAGTGTACAGTCCGGTATGCATCCGCAAGGTCCTCTGATATTATGTGTTTTTGGTAGATTTTTGTAATCTTGCTTCAATTCTGGCCATGAAGTATCGAAAAGCGCTGTAAAAGATACATAAAGCAACATACTCGAAATGTTGTGTGAAATGATATAATATATTTGTAACTTTTGTACACCTAATCTTATTCTCTGCTTGCCAATTCAAATTCAAAAATCATTTCCCTAAAATCATTTTTAATGCAAGATTTTTTTTTATTGTATTTGTTTTCATAAAATATTATAACTTGAACCTAAATTACATTGTTATAGAGAAATTGGACTTTAGCATGTATGGGATTAATATTCTTGCCTCTGTTCTTGCTCGATTAAAATAGAAGCATTAAAGTAGCATTGAATTTTGCTAAACACAATATACATTTGAAAGTTTCGGAATTAAGTAATTAAACCTTTAGATGTATGTATGTACTTACGCACTTACACTTATATTTCTTCAGGCATTTGATGTCTCTAAGATTACACACTCTGGTACCTGAAGTAAAGTATTTACTTTTTATTTTAGTGTTCCATATACACAGTGATGCGTGTATTGCAGGGGAAATTGAAGATTTCACAATAACTAATTACAAAATATCATTTCATACATGTTAATCATTTTAAGTGTTCTATTCTATTTTGCTAACTATTAATATTTGTTTTGTGCACTTTCAATTACAGTATTGCTGACGATAAAATGGACAATACAACCACATTAATAAAAAAGAAAAAATTAAGAATATGTGGTTTAATTTATATGAATTCTATACAAATATTTAAAACAATTGATAAGTTTTGTCTGAAAGAACAATTGTCTTGTCTAACATTGTAAGATCATATTTTCATGAGTGAAAATTTATTCTTTGATAATAGATTTCACAATAGAATAGAACATAGATGTTTATATATAATAAGTTTTTTTATATAAGCAGTAATTTTCATTATCATTATTTGTGTGTTTCTGAATTCACACATTCTGTATACTTACTATTTTGTGGAAAGTAATAAGGGATGCAACCGCATTTTGCCCTTACAATGCTAGCTCGACATTCTGCAAGGCAGTTGTGATACGAATATGTTATATAAGTTAAATTCCTCTCTTTGACATTTTGAAATATTACTTTATCATCTTCTTCGTTAAATATGCACTGTCGCGTAGAAATCGCCGAATTCTTCACTTCGGGTGTTGAATACATTTCCGAGGGATTGACGCTTAAGAAATGTTGATTATTTAATTGTACCAATTGAATTTCAGAATTAAAATCCGGATAATCGAATGAGTAATGTATCATGACCTGCAATATACAATATATTTACTTATGAAATTTATAGTTGAAAAAATCAGTTATACAAATATATTAAAGTGATTTTAAATAATATAGATAAGTGAAAATAAAATTAATTAATTTACCTTTACTCCATATGCTCCAATAATTGCAGCATGATAATCACTAGGTTCAGAATTTGCAATTATAGTCATGCCAGTCTCAAAACCACAAGCGGCAGATTTTACCATACTATAACAAAAATTTATATTAATCAAAAAATACAGCACAGCACTTCTTTCTATTGATATTATTCTTCTTTTTTATCTCTTTCTTTTTCTATATAAGACAGCCTCAAATACTTCTTAAATTCTAAATATCGCCTATCTAATGTAAAATTCAACCCTGAGAAAATGTTTATACTTGTCGGATGATATCGTCTCGTCTGGATAAGTAAAATAATTAAAACTGCAGCACAAGCCGTCTCGCGATAAACTTGGCTTGAAGAATCTATCACATCGATCAGCTGTACCTTTCCATTTGCATATTGTTAAAAAAGTACTACAGTTATGTGTTATCTGAAAAAAGTCACTGTAATTAGCTTTTTTGAAACTTTTTGTAAATCCTGAAACTCGAAATAAATATGAACACAGATTTATTAGTGTATTAATAACATTTAATATAATTTAATTAATTGATATATTTTTAACACAACATTTCATTTTTCTTTCGCATTTTTTTTTAATTGTTTTGTCATTATAAACGATATAACAACTAATATTTCAATTATTGTATAATAATTGTAATTTATGTATAAATTTATATAAAACAAAATAACAATAGTATTTAAAGTAATTTTTTAAATCAAGCGCAAAAATAACATAAAGTTGGCAATAGTGTATCGAGATACGATTCTCGCGTACTTTTCTATCGAAATCCGGATAAAGAAGTGCAGTTATTTTCCAAACGCAGGCATGAACGTATCGTAAGTTTAAACATTTTAATTTTGATTAATTTGCGTAATAATTAAAATTTATGAGCAATTTTGGATACGATTCAAACAATGTCAAATATTCCGGTTTTGTGTATATAAAATATAATATGTAATAATATTTGTTTTGCGATTTCTCGAACAAAAATTTTGGTTTGCGGAATTCAAGGGTTAGTTTTCTAGTAAATGTTGAATACTTTTGTTTTGTACGATTACAGTGTTTTTTGGTGTCGAATATCACATATCATAATTGGCTAAAATGTCGCGATGAGATTCAAATGTTTCTTATACGCTTTTCAACGAACTACAATAATTAATAATGTTTTATTAAATATTTGTAAAAGTTCAGATTTTGGCTAGTTGTGCCAATTCACGAATTCGCGTAACGCTTATGTTAGATATATCGATGTTACTCATGCCATCTTCCGGTCATCATGACCTTTACATACATAAGTTCGGAATATAGAGCGCGAACGTGTCGTATTAATCGTATGTTTATTCCGTATGTTCCGTTTATCAATCCGTATCAAAAGTATACAAGTCCGAATTTTTGCCAAAAACATCGATTAAAAACGGGTGATTGCCGAAACGTAATGTTTATCGCGACTGTTCACGTTAATCGTGAATACTCGCGTTCATCGGTTAATTCGTCGCTAGTTCGGTACGTAGTTTATAACCCTAAAAAGTACACATTTTAATGTCATAAATACAGTATGTATTACTAAATAAACACACGATGTGCTTTCTATTAAATATAATATGTGAAAAATTGAGCTCGTTGGAATTAAATTGAGTACGAAAAGTTACTATGCGCATGTCTATAGTCTGCAACTTCGGACGGCAGAACCGCCATTTTAAAGATGATCATTGTTTATTTTGCTCATTTTAAATACGTGTACAGCAGCAGTATTATCTATAATTATGTGCGCAAGGGCAATACAGTGTGTATCTTTATCTCACGTTTGCGTTACGATATAATAAATTTATAATATAAATCCGTAAAAAGTGAAAGTGAAAGTGAAATACGACCAACTACAATATATAAGTGTGAGTTTTCGATACATAAGTATTCATCAATTTTCGATGGATCTGATTGCGAACAACCAACCAGAACCAAAGCAGAATCTGCAGCGGTTGAAGTACTACAATGCTCCAGTTAGTGAGTATAATTATTTAAATATAATTGTGTAACACGCATACACAATGGTGATCATATATTTATAAAATTTTTTATTAATACAAGATGTTTAAAAATATTTATTGAAACGTTTTATAAAAATTATTCTTCCAACTTATTGTATGTGCTTGTTTTAATTAAACTAAAAATGATTTAATAAAACAAATATTTAATAAAACAAATAAATAAAATAATATACATAAAATATATAATTATTTATATATATATTGATTTTTTTAGGTATAGCCGAAAAGCATACTTGGCTAGAGTACAACGATTGGTGAGTAAATTTATTTAATACATTTGCGTTACAATCACGCAAAATATTGATATCTTTTATTGTTTATGTCAATATTGTTTTGTCAATATTGCTTATGTGCTAAAAACTGTGCTTCAACAATCACATTTTTATTGATTTGCAATTACACAAGTAAATAATAAAATTATCTTATCATTACTTTAATAGTAAGCAATGTTTAATTTCATACTAATTATGTTTTGCAATTTATTACAGTTGAGTCGTAAAACTTTTACAAAACTTTGGAAATATAAATTATTCAAACATATATATATAGAAAAGAAAATTTTATGTAGATATAAATAATAAAAAATGGAATTTAGGAATTAAAATTTTGAAAATATTTTGAGAATATAACGTTAAATACAATTTCAATGTGCACAAATACATTTTTTATTTAATCTTATTACATAATAAGTATAACTGTTTAATATTTCTACAAAAAATAAGAAAAATTGTCAAAGTCTAATTTTAAATGCACAATTTATTGATATGGCAAAATATTGGTAATGATATTGATACAATTGTTTATTTAACAATTGATATAATCAATTCGTTTTTGTGACATGCGTTTCACCAATCGGTCCTCATTTTTTGCTAAGCTTATTAACATCGTGACATTCTTACAATTTGACTAAATATACGATTGAAGTATTAAATATCTTATTGCTTCAAATCAAACGCATTTAAGTTTGGAAAGAGACATTAGTGTTGTCATTTATAGAACCGGATACTCGAGTAGACAGGTATTACACGGATACCCGATTATCTAGGATATTACTTGACTACCCATCCGGAAATATAATTCCCTATTCGAAATATAATAATTGCATACATATTGCATTGTAATTGCATTGATAATACAAAATTATCGCATATAATCGTATTACATATAAAAAAATAATATAAATAATAAATTATAAATTATGAATTTTTATAATGTTATTTTCTACATGTAATACGATTATATACGATAATTTTGTATTAATTATGCAACTACAATGCAATACATGTGTGTAATTATTATATTTTGAATACCCGGTTAGCCGGTATTGATAGCACTATTAGACACAATTCTTAGGACATGCGTATTGTGAAATTATGTGGAATATTTTAATTATTGCAAGTATTATCAAATCAAATTAACAAATCTTATCAAATCTATCCGGGAATCTCGTAGCAGCATTGTGCACGTATATGCGACGATAAAATATTTTTAGTACGCACCAAGTTTAACACTTCGATAATAGACAATTTATTGTCATCTATAATGTCTTGTAGACGAGTAAGATTTCTTTCAACGTCCGCATTGGATCCGAATATTCCCGGTATTATCAATTCATTCATCAACCGCATCTCTTGAATTAAAGATTCTTTCGAGACATTAGCTGGTGTCTTTCTGTAAAAAAATGCAATTAAGATAGTCGGAAGAAAAATCACTCTCTAAATAACTCTTATTTACAAACGTGAAACGCGCCTAATACTCACAAATTCTCGACAAAGTTCTTAGTCAGGTTATAAGACATGCGATTAATATCGCATACCGTTATTGCGGGAAACGGATAATTCCATATACCATGATGCGTCGATTCGATGACTGTCAGGGTAGGATGGGAGGAGTAATAACTCCAGGACTTATCAATTAAAGCGAGAGCACAGGATAACGACGCAAGTACAGCTATTGCCCAAATAATCCTATAAATATTTGCCGATGATACATTCGTAATTGTCGCCGTTTTAATTTCATTAAATACAAAATTTATGCATACGTATATAAATTGGGAGAAATGTTTTTGCAAACATCTAACAACATTTTTTTTATTGTTTACAAAATTATTACTTTTTCAAATAATTTGATGAATTTGTAGTTTCAAAATATGCCTTATTTTATGTCTTAAAATATGATTTATGCAATTAATTATAATTTATCATAATTTAGTATCTCTTATTTTTTTTTTT